GCCTCCCCAAACAATCTTTCTACTCTCAAAATTCTTCTCTGGACTTTATGAGCTCCTAACATAAACTTATAGTAGTTTGTGCTAACATTACTTTTTTTTTTTTAAATCCACACCCAAGGAAAGAGAGAGAGAGAGAGAATAAGAATGAATAGTTGCCTTCCATATGCTCCCCAATTGGGGATCAAATCCAAAACCCATCCTGTGCCCTGACCAGGAATCAAACCAGCAACCTAACCTATTGGTGTTCAGGATGATGCTCAACCAACTGAGCCACTCCGGCCAGGCTAACATAACTTCTCCCCTAAAACAGTTTTTAAATCCTAGTGAGCAAAGTTGGATCTAATTCATCCCATCCTTCACAGTCCCTTGACCATTGCCCACGATGGGTCCATTCCATAAACATCAGATGACATAGAGAACTCAGACTTACTCTTAAAGATGCCAATCTAAAGTTCCCCAGTTTAGCAAGTAAAAGTTGGCACTAAATTGGAATATAAGCAGGTTCTATGCATTATCGATTTTCTGATCTACTGTATAATGCAAAGGTAACAAAAATATTTGTGGCATAAAAATAATTTAAATAATTCTAGTGGGTTAAGTATTTAGGTTCTTTTTTTATTTTTTATTTTATTTTATTGATTTTGTACAGAGAGAAAGGAAGAGAGATAGTTAGAAACATCGATGAGAGAGAGTCATCGATCAGCTGCCTCTTGCACACCCCCCACTGGGGATATGCCCGCAACCAAGGTACATGCCCTTGACTGGAATCGAACCTAGGACCTTTCAGTCCCCAAGCCGACGCTCTATCCACTGAGCCAAACCGGTCCCAGCATAGGTTCTTTTTTATATCGTAAAATTTTTTGTTAATGTACATCACTCTAAAAGCTGAAATACTCTATTAAAGGTTAGATTTTGTGTGTGCACGTGTGCATGTGTGTGTGTGTGTGTGTGTGTGTGTGTGTATGCTAGCCTCTTTTCTCTTCAAGAATCCATAGACGTGAGATCAATGAAGAATGAGAACAATCTATAACTTCCTAAAATTATAACAGAGCAAGCAGATATTCCCATCCTTTTCCAACGAAAAGGCGGACAAAGTTTGAGTCCCTCTACAGGATTGTCACCCCAGCAATCCAAGTGCCACAATTTCAACAACGCAAAAAAGCTGGTTCCATGTGGAAAGCCCTCATTAAACCCTCAGTTATATTTAGAAAAAAATGGAACAGAAGTTATATTTAGATGAAATGGCTTAAAGGAACTTTTACCAAGAGCAGCATGTTTACCCTATCTTCCATAAAAAAGGTTTTACTTGGCTTTTTACATACAACTCCTAAAAAACAACTTCTCTATTTTGTGTCAAAAAGAAATCGGGAGCACCCAGGATATCAGCAACACTGCCCACAGGAAGCAGGGGGATCATCGGGAGGACTTAAAAAAGAAACACAGGTTTGGAGAATAAAACCATTCATACAGAAACCTGAGTTGAGACTGTCTGAGAAGGGTGTGAGGAATATGGTGCTGAGCGGTGTGAGAAAAGCTCTTAAATTTATAAACTGGACCAACAAAAATCGGTATAGATTTCCTCGGCACTTTCCCTAGCGCTCTCATTGTGGTCGCGGTCAAACCATTCCCCATCCTTTCGCAGCTAGCTCCCCGAACCAGTCAACATTTCCCTTTTGGCTCTTGTTAGGCAAACTATTTTTACTGGTAAGACTATTTTTGACCTCCACTTTCTTTTGTGTTGGCCTACATTTTCCTAACAACATTCTGGTCAACAGTGCCGAGGTGGTTTAGCAAACTTGGGAAGCCTTTTCAGGAATGAAGGCATGGTTTTGGGGCGACCGTGTGAAGAAGTGAGAGATGGTTTGTGGCAGTTACTCTTTCCTTCCCCAGGCCACAGGGTCCCCAGGGCTCCAGATGGGAATGAATCACGGCCCGGAGGCTTGGCACACACCCCAGGTTAAGGGGACCTCTTCTCTAAAGAGCCTCAGGAAGAGGCCACTTCCCAGCCTCCCGGCCAGCCCCGAGTGGAGGGCAAAGGTAAAACGCCTGGGGTAAGTCCCGCAGCAGGACTGGCCGGCCCAGCCTTCCCCGGCCTTCCCCGCAGGAGCCGGGCCAGTGCCGAGGGTGTTGCAGTCCCTGCGGCTTGCTATTCCTAGGGTCAATTAACACTCCGAAGCACTCTAGCTAATCCCTGCTTTTGCTCCTGGCTTGGTATTTCCAGAACGTGTGAGCGCAACACAGAACTGAAGTCACCCAATGTTACACCACTTACAGGCCTTTGAGCAACAAAGCCTGAGGCTGTGAAATTGAGAGAGGAAACAAACACAGACCTAGGCACTAAAAGAGACCAGATTATACATTCCAGCCACTCCCCTCCCCCCTGCAGCCGCCTCCCTCCCCCCTCCCTCCATCCCATACCTATCTACATCCATTTTAAGAGGATGGGACCTCCACAGAGGGCCTGCCTTTTGCCTGAGTGAGAATCACGTTAGTCACACCCGCAGTGTTTCCCAAACTTTTGACATATGTGTACCCCTTCTATGATTTCCGTAACGCTGAGTACCCCTCATACTCATGAGAACGTAGAATTAGGCGCAGCTAAGCACGGTGCAGTGCATATCCCCACCCAACTCCGGTGCAACGAGTACCCCCACCAAACTCTTCCCGTACCCCTGGGGGTATGCGTACCACACTTTGGGAAACACTGAGCCCCAGAGGAAAGCATCATCTCAACCTTCAAGTCCAGACAAATGCTTAAGGGTTTCCTCACTTGCCATCCTAACAGTCCGTGATGCCCAAGGATAGAAAGGGTCAAAGAGCAGGTTCTACTGAGCTGGCTGAGCTTCAGGAAATGTCCCCATACATCAATTAACTTTGGAACCAGGCAGGCCTAACACAGTGATGGGCACTTCAGGATCACAGAAACAATGGGGGAACTGAAATTTCTGCCCACAAATCACCAGGGAGACAAAATGTAGGTATGAGAATGGGCTAGGTCACACCAAGTCCCTTGGGAAGGGTCAAGAGAGAGAGGGTGAGAGTCCTCGAAGGCTCGAACAGAGGGTTAGCCACATGGGCCAGGGCAGGGAACAGCTGCAGGGGCGAGGATAAGCTGGCAGTCGGAAGCATGCAGGGGGGAAAGGTCGACTTCCCCACCAAGGAGGGCTCCGAGAATCCCACACAGGCCTGGATTTGGTAATCAGGAGTCCTCCACATCACCAAGAACCCGCCTTGGAAGTGTTTAGGCAAAAAAAGAACATGTAAGATGGTAGAAAGAAGGAAGGAAGGAGAGGGCTGAGGCAAACAGAAGACCTGGGGGGGTGGGGGGGACACTTATCAGAGTCACCAAAGAGGAAGAATCCAAAGGCCCGAATAAGAAACCGGTAGGCAGAAGGAATAGCCCGCTGGAGAGAAATAACTGATCACGTTTGGGACGTGTCTGCACCAGGCCCGGGACCTCCAGGCATCTAATGGGAAATGGGAAACTGAGACGTTGGCAGCATACCCCTCTCCCCAACACATGAAGTTACGGGAACGCTCCCAAAACTTCCAGAACTGAGAAGTCGGCGAAAACCTAAACAAAGCGGCTACAGCTTGCATGGCTCAACTTCTACTCGCACCTTTTTTCCTCAAATGTGACCATACACTGGAACACCCAGTTTACATTCAGAACTTCCTGGGATGCTCGGAAACAAGGGCCAAAGCCGCCCGATCTTCCCTGCTGGGCCGGTGGGTGAGGGCTGTGGTCCCGCTGCCACCTCGGTGGGTCAGAGCCCCCACCTCTCCCTGGCCGGCAGGGCAGAGCGCACCATGGAACCCACAGCAGAGGCCCCCCGCTCCCCACCGACCTTGACAGCAGGCAGGGACCGTCCATTCAGCACCGAGCGTTTCTCAGGTGGCCCTTAATATTATAATTATTATTCAAGGGCTGCACGAATACAAAGTGCGTTTGTCCGGCGGCCCTGCTCCTTAGGCGCCAACGCCTTCTGCCCCCGCATCAAGAACCCACTGGAAAGTGGAGAGCCACTCCCGCCCAGGGGCCAGCACGCTAGAGCCTGGCACGTAGCAAACAGGCGCTCACCCAGATCTACCCTCGGACCCAGTACCTGGGCAGAGGGCCCCCTGCTTGGGGTGGCGGCTCCTGGGAACACAAAGCCTAGCCAGCCAGCCAGCCCGGGGTCTGCGCCCCCCGGCGACTCAGGGGGGCGGGAGCTCAGAGCCAGCAAAGGGGGGCGGGAGGGGGGAGATGGAATCCACCCTCATTTGCACGTCGTCTGGGGCCGGGTCCATTTGCCTAATCACGGCTCTAAATGCCAGCGCGCAGCACACAATGCGCGCCCATTAACAGGTTTAAAGTGTCGCGGCGCTCGCTTTAAATGAGAAAGGTCGGCAACAAAGGAGGGAAAAGCCAAGTTCCTCCACTTGAGGAATGCCGCGCGGGTTTGCCCTCCAAATCTCAGCGCGTTGAAAACCCCCGAGGAGCGAGCTGCCCCGAGAAGCGGGGGCCGGGGGCGAGCAGAGGGGGGGTGTGTGTGTGGATAACCCGCCAGCGCGCCGGGTTTCTCAGGAACCCCCACCCAAGGCGGCCTGTGCCTCTAGGGTCGGGGGGCAACGTCGCCAACTCGGCTCCCGGGCCCACTGCCCAGCCGCCAAGGAAAGCTGACCCACTTCCAGGAAGGAAAGCGAGACCCACCCGCCCGGCGCCGGCAAACATCCAAGTTTCCCTTCTTCGTGGGAGCAAAGGGCTTTGGGAGCCAAAGGAGACCCCAGAAGTGGACCCCAAAGTTTCTCCCCAGAAAAAGGGGGTTTGTTTAAAGGGTTTTTAAAACTTTCATCCAGGCACTGGCTAGCGCAGCCTAACACAGAGTCGTTCCAACTCCGCAGAGTTCTGCCCGGATCCTCCGGGGCGGCCCCATCCCCCACCCGCTGCCGCGCCCGGGGGCGCACCCCGCAGGCCGGGCCTCCCCCCGCCCGCCCCGCGCGGCCGGCCGGGCGCTCACCGTGCGCGCTCCTCCGGGAGACAGGGGTCCGTTGGGGAGGTACGGGCTGCTCAGGTCCGGGATCATCAGGAACGGGTACCCGGGGTACGGGGGCCCCTTAAAGAACGCGCCGTCCTGGGGCCTTCTCACTGCGGGCAAGAGCAAGGCGGGGTGAGGCCGAGAGGCAGGGGCCCCTGGACGGGGACCGGGGACCCGGGCGCCCGAGCGCGCGCCCCAGGACCGGGCGGAGAACGGGGAACCGGAGACGCGGGGGGCCGGGGCGGCCCGACCTGAGGCTCGGAGCCCCGCGGGGGCCCGGGAACGGGGGCTGCCCGGCCCGGCACGTACCTTCGGCGAAGTAGTCCCGCGGCTTCTGGAAGGCGTCCCGGGAGGGCTGCGGGCGCCTCTCCGCCTGCGGAGGAGACACAAAGGCGAGGGCGGGTGAGCGGGCGCCGGGCCGGGGTCCGCGGGGCCGGAGCCGCCGGAGCCGCCTTACCTCCGAGTCCGAGCTGCTGCTCTGGTTCTCCGACTCGTGGACCAGGGACGACTTGACTTCGTCCAGGTCCCGCTGCGCCGAGGCGCTGTCGCTACTCGGCTCCTGCTCCTCGCCCCCTTCGTCCTGGAAGGGGATCAGCTCGTCGTTCGCCCCGAGGTCGTCCCCTCCGCCGGCCGCCCCGGCGCCCGAGCCGCCGCCGCCGCCGCCGCCGAGCTGGGGCATGGTGGGGCCGCGGGCCGGGGCCGCCGCTCCGCGCCCCGCGCCGCCCGCCCGGCCCGGCCCGGCCCGGCCCGGCGCCCCTCCCTCCCGCTCGCCCGGCCGCTCCGCTCGCCGCTGCCGCCGCCGCAGCAGCAACAAAGTTTGACAGGGCGGGGCCCGGGGACGCGGGGCCGGCGGGGCCGGGCCGGGCGGGGGCGGCTCGGCTCGGGCCCCTCCGGACGCGCCGAGCCCAGGGCTCCCCAACTCGCCGCCGCCACCGCCTGCTCCGCCGGGGCGTCCCAGCGCCTGGCCCGCCGGGGAGGGGCGAGCGGGGCAGGAAGGAGGGCCCCGCCGCGCTGGGCCGGGCAGGGGGGCCGGAGGGAGGAGCCCGGCTGCAAGCTGACACCCGCGCCCGCCGCGCGGAGCCCCGCCGGCCCGGGCGCGCACACACTCCCTCGCATTCACACTCGCACGCCCGCCGCCGCTCACACCTTCCGGGGGCTGCGCCTCCCGCCGCGCGCCCCGCCCGCCCTCGCCCCCCAGACTCGCCCCGGCGCCCCACCTCGCGCCCCCGGCGGCCCTCCCCGCATCCGCCCGCGAGCGCTGGAGGCCCGCCCCCACCCCCCAGGCAGCCCCTAACTTTCTTCCAAATCTCCCCCAGAACTCCGCGCGGACTCCGCACCCCTCCCGGCGCGGCGCGCGGGCGGCACTGCCCCCTGTGGGGAAGCTGCGGACGCGCAGACCCGCCGGCCGCTCCCGCCGCCAGGAGCTCTCCTCCGGGGCGCGGGTACCGCCCGGCCCGGCGCTCTCCCGGCTGCACGGAGCAGAGGATGAGGAAGATGCATGCAGCCAGAGTGTGCTGGGCAGCTCCCGCTCCTCCTCCCTGCGGGGCTTCAATCATAGTGCTCCCCGCCCTCGTCCAGGCTTTGTACCTTCTGCAGGTGTCCCAGGTCCCAGGTCCCCTGAAATCCCAGAGACCACTTTCGCCTCAAGGATCCGTGCTCGGTCCTGAACCAAATAACTTAGGGTCTTGGGTGCGGAGAGGATTCGCATTTGGTTCCTTGGAAGGAAAACCCTCTGCCAGTGACCTCTGGAGCCGTTCACAAATCAGCCTCGGTAGCCCATGCGTAAATGGGATGATAATAATAATAATAATAATAATAATCAGCCAGCCTCATACTTAAATGCCTGTTCCAATCGCATGAAGATAACATCCCTCTGGGAAAGTGTGAAAAAGTGGATCTTGTTGACATCCCCAATGGGGAACTACAGGTGGGAGCATACGTTTTAAAAGCAGGAGGGAAGGCAGGAGGGAGATAATTTAAATCAACCGGCAGAGGAGTCTTCTGGAGCGATCCACCCACAGATGGACGAGGGCACAGATACAAGAAGGTGCAAAAGAGCAGGGAGGTCCGTAAAATGAGTTCTGGGTCTTTCTTGCCAGATCAGCAGAATGAGGCCGCTGCACACGCACATCCTGGAATGATTTTGAAGAAACGCCCTTTAAGGAAAGGCAGCCACTATCAGTTTTTATATATGACACTTTTTTTTTTTAATCACCCTTGCCAGATAGTTCAGTCCGTTTCAATATGCTTAGGTTGTGGGTTCAATACCCTGTCAGGACACATACAAGAAGCAACCAATGAATGCACAAATAAATAGAACAACAAATTGGTCTCTCTCTCTCTCTCTCCCTAAAATCAACAAATACTTTTTTAAAATTACATATGTCTGTTTCTGCATAGAAAAAGCCTGGGAAGGTGCACACCAAATTATTATCAGTATTTCTGGGGAAGGGGCTAGATGAGAGGAGAGAGGCCGTTTTGTTTTCTACTTCCTACATGTTTTACAAGCAGATATGCCTTCTCTAGTTTTCTACACAGCTCGTGAATACAGCCTGATGAAACTTTTTCAAACAATATAGATGTATCTTGAGTAAAAAGTAAACTTTCCTCTTCCCCGCTTCCCATGACTCCCTCCAGTTAAACACCTTCCTGTTACTGGTTTGATGACCATCCTTCCAGACATCTTCCCAAGCAGTTACCTACATGTGTAAGCACATATACAATATTCAGATTTACTTTCACCTAAATAGGATTATACCGTTCATATTATTGTGTGATATTTCATTTTTATAAGTTTTTAAAAGTCAAAAGGCTTTTCGTGTCCCCCACAAACATATGAAAAGCCTATTGTATCAGCTCCCCATCGCTGCTCTCACAAATCACCGTAAACTGGGTGGCTCAAAACACCAGAAATGCTTTCCCTTGCTGTGGTGGAGGCCGTAAGTTCGAAATGAGTTTCACTAAATCAAAATCGAGGTGTTGGCAGGGCCATATTCCCTCCTGAGGCTCTGGGGAGAATATATTCCTTGTCTCTTCCAGCTTCTGCAGGCTGCCAACATTCCTTGAGATCTCATTGCTCCAATTTCTGCCTCGGTGGTCACATCGCCTTTTCCTTTGTCTGACAAATCTCCCTCACTGCTGCTTCCTAGAAGGAAGAACTCTTGCCTTGTCATTTAGGACCCACCCAGATAATCTTGGGTAATCGCTCCATCAGCAGCCTTAACTTAATTCACATCTGCACAGACCCTTATGTGGGCCCTGAGAAAGAAGATGTTTACTGAGAGGGTTCCTGGTGGCTAACTGGATTCAGATGTGAAAAACAGAGCCTAATAGCCATTTCTCCACAGGGGCCTCCCACGCCAAGCCAACTTCAAGGAGAAGCCCACCCTCAGCTGCCTGCCTCCTGCACTGAGCTACCCGCCTGCACTGTGTTTCTGCCCTCAGAGCCAGCCCTTATAAAGGAGTTCCTGCAATTCTGTTTCAACCAATATGACTGAGATTTTCCCCATCCAATCGGAGCGGCACAGTTAAAGCTGCCCCCATCATGTTCATCCACCAATCATAGCAGTTCCATCCTGACCAATCAGGACAGTACCTTTTGGACCCATCAAACTGTGACTGTTTAGAATCCTCATTTGCATGAGGACAGACCAATCAGGGACCAGGGGAAGGGTCTTCTGTCTACACGGAGTGGCCAGATTATTATGATCTCTGAATGAATAATAATCTGACCACTCAGTGTATATCCTATATAATAAAAAGCTAATGTGCAAATTGTCCCCTCGACCAGGAGTTTGACCAGCAGGCAGACTGGCCAACTGCCCATGTCCCTTCCCCCGGCCAGGCTGGCCAGACCCCACCCATGCGTGAATTCATGCACCTGGCCTCTATACCTCTATGTGTGTGTGTGTGTGTGTGTGTGTGTGTGTGTGTGTGTGTGTGTATACACTGAGTGGCCAGATTATTATGCGTTCAGAGGTCATAATCTGGTCACTCAGTGTATATAAGTCTGCTCCCCTCTGGCTTGGGGTGCACACTTTCTCTTTGCACCAAAGGCTGGCTTTCCCAGCTCGTGCTGACCTGGCGCTGACCTGGAGCTGACCCCAGCAGGTGGAATAGTGCAGAGCTGTCTAGTTGCAGAATAGTCTTGCCCCAGGGCCACCTCACCCCAGGGCCACTTGGCAGACAGGCTGTTTCACAACTGTGCTGCTTCATAACTGAACCCTGGCACCACCGAGCTGTTCCACCACCGTGCTGTGCTCCCAGCTGTGCTGCATCACAGTCGAGCTGTTTGAACAAAACAGTTTCCTTCGTCACCACACCCCAAAGCGGGGACTCCTGTTGGCATTGAATTGGCGCCAACAACCGCCAGTGGGCATTTATAAGGTAGCACTCACAGGTTCTGGGGACTAGTGCAGGAACATATCTTTGGAGTGAGGCATTATTCATTTACCACACCTATCAACCTCCAAGAAATGCAAATTAAAAGAGCACAGAGATACAATTTTTCATCTATCAGATTGGCAAATGTAGCATCAAATAGTAACACCCAGCATTGGCCCCTGTGCAGAAAAGTAAACTTCTGGGCACGCCATTGTGTAACATGCCTGAAGGAAAAACCTTCTTCAGAAGTGTGACCTTTTGACTCACCTGTGCACCTCTAGGATTTTATACTAAGAAATAACCAGGTACACGAGGAAACCTATAGCTTTGTCTTCATCACAGTGAAAACAATGTCAATGTCTCCAAATAAGGAATTGTTTTTTAAAAAACCCTGGTGCACTCAGTTAATGTAATGCTCTGGCACTGTGGAAATATGTGTGGAAAGGGGCTCGTGATAGTGAGAGTATCATTACCATGAACCTACATAGACTTTGCTTTCCGTTCTAGCAAAGTATGGAGGTCAGACCGTCCCTTCCACCAAGAACACTTAAAAAATACCCAACAACAACAGCAGCACCGAGCTGATTTGAAGGCATTAGAAACAACCAAATCAGCCGGGACTTAAGGAGTCAAGTACCAAAGAGAGGGAAAGTTCATTAAAATGAATTCACATTTACTGCTGTTTTATCCCCTCCAAACATTTGGTGATTTGCAGCATCAGGTATAGTGGCCAAACAAAAAGCAACTGTCTAGAGCAGGCAAACCATAGCCTGAATCTGGAGGGTCTGTCAGCTCAGAATGTGTTTTACATTTTTCAATGGTTCCCCCAAAATCAAAGAAGGATAATAGTTTATCGTATGAAAATTATATGAAATTCAAATTTCAGTGTTAAAAAAGTTTTATTGGATGATAAACACACTCGCTAATTTCCATATTGCCTATGGCTGCTTTCACACAATAATGCCAGAGTTTAGAAGGTGCAACAAAGCCTGTATGTGGTGCTCTCATTGCGTTAGACCTTTGCTCGCTCACTGCATTTTGCAGTGAGGCAATGTTTTGAGTGTCATGTACACTGAGTGGCCAGATTATTGTGATCTCTGAACGCATAATAATCTGGCCACTCAGTATATATCCTATATAATCAAAGGCTAATATGCAAATTGTCTCCTCAACCAGGATTTCGGCCAGCAGGCAGGCCGGCCAACCCCCATGTTCCCTCCCCCTGGCCAGGCTGGCCGGACCCCACCCAGCATGAATTCATGTGCTAGGCCTCTAATATATATATATATATATATA